TGTCCAATTCTGCCAACATCTATCCTAATGCATCATATGCCACTCTGGTTCTGTCCCAATTTCCATAATCTGATCCACTGTTTGGCTCTGCTCACTAAAGCAATATTTTTGAATTCCAAGATGGTAACTCTGTAGTGCAGCGTTTCTCAACCTTGGCAACTTTATGATGTGTGGACTTCAACTCCCAGAATTCCCTAGCCAGCCATGCTGGCTGGGGAATTCTGGGAGTTGAAGTCCACACATCTTAAAGTTGCTAAGGTTCAGAAATACTGCTATAGTGGGACGCATTTAGAAACAGGTAATTGTATATCCTGAGATATAAAGTCAGTGTTTTGGGTGGACTAAAAACTGTTCTGAAATAGTGTAAACATTTCTTTCTGGGAAGAACAGATCAGCGTCAAGGCAGACCCTAATGACAGCAAATCCAACACCAGGCACATCCCTCCAGGATGTGAAAGGTGAAACAAATTCCAATTCTAAAACTTCAGATGGTTGGGAAAAATATGACTGGATCCTACTCAGAAATACTCTCCACATTTTCCCACCTCCTGCAACTGTGCATGAACTGGAATTACACAAAAGCGGGGGGGGGGGACTTCCCTGCGGTGATTTTTATTTTGGTACCATGTAGGTCAATGAAGGATGATGTTACCCACTGGAAGTAAACGTTGCCCACAGAAATATGTTTTTCATTCTTAGTCCAAATGACTTTCTGGCAGAGACTGCATGCACTGAAATAAAATATTCAAAAACGAGTTGCATACGCTACAGAGTCCCTTTTTCTGGCTGCAGTCAGAATAAGATTGTCCTCTGGTTTTATGTTTCTTGAGATGGGCCTCGGCCGCACCAAACTCATACAGTGTTAAGCAGTTGACATCAAGCAGCCAATTCGCCAAAATTCTGGAGGGATGCAGAAATATGCATTTTCTTTATCCTTTCCATTGTTATAGATTGGCTGTCAAACAGAGCCCATCTTCAGTTGCTTTCATCATAATGCTGCAGCCCTAGGAAAATCCTACAGTGGAACACTGCTGAGAGATTAACAGTTTGGATTCAACTATCGACGGACAAAAGGTTTATCTGCATTGCTGTACAGAACAGGCAGGCCACTGTTTCCGAAGGGCAGATACACGACATTGCCCTGTTTGCCTCCCACTCCCTCACCAAGCAGCCACGGGGCGTATTTTTCTGCTCCACTTCCATTTTTAATCATTCACACATAAGCCATCTAATAGGTTTTAAAACAACATCCCAAATCTGTGATGAAATCCAGAATAGGACTTTGGTATTTGGAAGCTGTTATCTTACACTTCTCAAGGGCAGCTACTGTTCAGTTCTCAGTGCATAAACATCAGCGTTGCAAAATATCAGGGACTAATTAGCAAACCTGTGATCTGTCACTGGAGAGGTCAGAATGGAATACATGTGAAGAAAAAGCTGTCTCTGCATTCCTAAAACTAAGGGAATCTAGCTCTTCTTAGTATCAACATAAGAAGATGACAATTTCCAGTCCCATTGATAAGCAAGTCTCTGGCTTTCTCAAATACGAATCCATTATAAACTGAACCATTTTCAGAAATACTGTCAACTTTAACTATTTCTTATATAGTATTCACTTAGAGTTGGCAACCGAGGTATTTCAAAATACCCTTAAATGGAATGATAATGCCATTTAGTCAGCAAAGTACAATTATAGGTTGCATACCGTATAACAAAATGGCAACTACAGAATGATATGATTGCAAAGGGAGAAGGAGTGGACAGAGCAATTGCAGCTGAGAAAACATCTTCCTGGCCCAACTTTGTTTTTCCCCCAACCGAAAAGGTCCTTCAAGCCAAGTGTAATCTGTAGTTCTGCCTGTACCTAGTATATTAAATAGTAAAATATAAGCCCAAAGCGCTAAGTAAAATACAAGCTATCCCAGCCCACCTTGTTTCAAAATGCTTCTGAATTCTTCTATTAATTTCCTACATCCCCAAACTGAACAAGGACAATAAATGCAAAATGTGAATTCCTGACTAGTCAGGGAATCATAAGCATCAGTAGGTTCCATGCACACCATTCTTCAACACAACTAACAACAAGGGGATGACAGGCACTGCTGGCTTTTTTTTTGCAAGCCAAATTTTATCAAACAGCTCAGCTGCCCAGGATCCCGCCACAGAGAGCCAATCAACTTTTCAAAAGAGCTTTTGATGGCTTGGTGCACATCCTACTGGATTTAAGCCAGAGCAACCACTTCATATTTGGCAGGATGATTGTTGTGGATATTTCCTTACCAAATTCAAAGGAATTTATTCTTAAGGAAATGGTTTGTAGGCATTCACCCCAAAGCATATTTACTTTCAAGCAGATTTATTTGGTGTCCTTAACTTTATGAGAGCGTCACTGGCTAAAGTATATCCTGGGCTAGAAAGAGACACTCTTTCAATAACATCTATTGTCTGATTGAGGAAATATATTTGACTGGACAAATCTCTATGGACAATGTGCCTTGAGTTGGTTTGCTTGTTTGTTTAGCCTTCAAGTCAGGACAATATCGCAGGACTAAAACTCATAGTTTCCCTGCTGGTATTCCAGTGCCTTAACCATTAGATCAAACTGTCTCTCCCTTAAGAATACAGACAGCTTCTACTGTATTTCTACTAAAGGAAACCAATAGCTCTTTTTTTAAAATCATAAAACCGCCTGTGTTACATCATCAGAACATGGGCACTTACATAATACACTTCCTTTCTTCTTTAACAATATATGCTTATACCTACATGCTGTCTATGGGTAGGGAAAATGAAGCAGAAAGAAAAAGGCAATTCATTAACCCATGCTCTCATTCTGCCCTATCAACAGAGAAAAAAAATTATGATGGTTCCTCCCCCCATATAAACACACAAGCATCAAAAGCCACCTGGAATATGTATCCTGTGGATTTGAAGTGATGGAAAATGTAAATCTGTCAGAGCCAGGCAGCAACAAGTAAATGAATTAACACGCTGCATTTGATTCCTTCTTCTCTGAAAAGTATGGGAATGGGGGTCCATGCAAGTGCTGAATGAGCAGCCTTCTTCTCACTCTACCAACCACACCTCGATTTTGGAAAATTCAATCACGGTTCCTTTTTTGGGCATGTGAAGCCCAATCACAGCCTTGGCATGATGGTCTCTACCTGGAATCTCTTCCCAAACCAAGGACTAAGCAGGAGAAAAGGGAAAAGGGGGAACAGCAGAGAAAGAATCCCATCCAGTCACCTAGTGCTCCAAGCTCTCCATCTCCACGTTCAAGAGGAAAGTGATGAATGAGCCTGTCCGTGGAGAGTTAGAGGAGAAAAACTTTATTATGCTTTATGCCGGGGCTTGCAAGTTCAAAAGCATCAAAATAAAGTTGTCAGTGGATGGAAAGAAGCACCAATAAAACAGAAAGTAATACAGGAGGAGTCAAATCTTGCTGTTTTGTGAGATGGGAGCTGGAAAGAATATGAATTGAAGTCCTTAGTTTAAATCTTAGCTCCTAAATAAATATATCTCTTTGTGAGCTAAGAGATTGGCTTATCTTTTAAACTTGTTGTAAGGTTGTATATGTATTAAGTCAATAGGAGAATAATAAGATAATGCCTATTATGCTACTGTAGTAACTAGATTAATTCTTTTAAACAGATTGAATATTCCTCACAAGATTTCAGGTTAAGATCAAGCATTTACTCATGAAATCACAGTCCCAGGGTGATCTTATACTAGTTCTTAAAAACATACTATAAAAGTTTTGCTGGAATAAACTCTTCAAGAGCCTTTTGTACCAAGGCTGTATAATACAGTGTACGTTAAAGCCTCATAGGACTGGCTTCATAGTCCATTGAGTGCTAGAATAATGATAACAACTCTCTCTTTTATTATTTGCACCAACAATAGATATCATTACCATATTTCTTAAACGTACATTTTCCAGTTTTCAAAAGCAAATCGACATTGCAAATTGATTTTAACCAGTCAGGGTTGAATCCAATTTGCAATTTCATCTTACTGTCTGAGAACCCTACAAATTGGTCCACTGAGAGCAGCCACATGATCATCGAGTTTGGAGAAGCACCATCTTATCCTGATATACATTTGCTAATTCTCGATACTCGTCCTTTTAGGCCCATGCTCAAACAGTTTGCAAACGAGCAGCAATATATTTATCTACTGATGGACCAGGCCAGGCATTACTATCTTCATATGGTTTTGAACTATTTCCAGATTCTTATCCCTAAAAATGTACTATGGTTCTGTGGGTATCATGTGTAATTCAAGAGAGTAACTTTAAGCATCTGAAAATATAATTGAATAACTTAATAACGTTTTTAAGCTGCTGCATCTGAACTGCCTTATGCTGGTCTTTCATCACTGACAAAATGAGAGGAAACCATCTCCTTCTAAATCTATTACACTGGAAGGGGTAGGGTTGGCATTCTAACCTTTGGGACATTTTGAAAAGATGTTTGCATCTTTCCTTGCTACTCACTGCTCATATCTGTGAGGAACTATTTCATCCAATAAAACACATAATTAAATATATGCTGTGAAGCCAAGCTACATATTACACAGGCTAAACAAACAAGCTCCAGGGACAATTGTTTTATGTTATAAAATTGTGCAAGAAAAAGAATTAAACTTCTTCCTTCGGTATCTCTCTGTCAGTCAAATTCAGAACAACCTACAGTTATTTTCAAGTAAAATGTTTTAAAAAGTTAACATCTAGCTCATCTTTATGAATTGCCAAATATTCCTGTCTGCTAGTTGAAAATATATATGGACTGTGTTTTCTTGTTGCAAAGGATTAGACTAGGTGGCCTGTGGGTCTCTTATAACTACATGATTTGCCATAGCAAAAGGGAAGATTTAAACCATAATTCATGTATGCTGAGATTTATGAATGTAGAATATTTATATACTTATTACCTTCTACAGTCCTTCTACCACAAAGTAACTTTCACTTAACAATGTCAATAACCATACCAGTCACTTACATAAAATTCACACAGCCTGTTCCTGCAGGAGGAGCAATCCAAACAAAACTGAGATTTGTGGTTGGAAGATGGCTGACATGTGATGCAACCACACTGCACATGAATTGATTTCCAAATTGGTGATCAGACATTATTCCTACAAGGAAGAGACAAAATAAAGAAATATTCATGCATTTAAACAAGCAGTTTCATTTTATTTCTTTAGAAGCATTAATACACGCATTTATAACAAATCCAATTGTGTAACATACATAGCATTCTATCTGTATCATTTTTTTACCTTGAGCACCAATATGAAAGAATTTTACTTTTTGTCTTGAACTATAAGACTATATTCTCCTATATTCTCAATGCATTTCTTTCACTAGACTTTGAAATGTTAACTGATTTTTAGCATTTAGTATTAATTTTAACCTTTTCTATTATGTTTTTGATACTTGGACTATTTGTCAGAGTATAAAGCTGGGGTAGAAATGGAATACATAAAATTATAAACAAAAGTATATATATTTTAGCAAAGCAAAAAAAAAAACCTTTCACCTGTATCTTGCAAAAATGTTCCATATCCATGAGTGGGATATGAAGACAATTGCCCAGTTGGAAGTAGCCCAGAACAATTTCCTAAGAATTATTTTGGGTCTTCCCCAGAATATTCCTGCTGTTTATCTAAGAACGGAGGTTAGACTATCCGGAATATCTTAGAATCCATCTTGCACTGTTAAGGTACTACAAAAAACCTAGAAAGTCTTGAAAATCCTACTTATATTATACGGGTGAGAATCGATGGACCAAAATTGTAGCCTCATCCCCTATAACTGTAATCCCTGACTCCCATGGTGGAACTTAGTTCTCAGACCAGAACAAATATTAGATCCGGGGTCCCCAAACAGGAGGCCGACAGGGATATCAACTGTACTACAGCCGTCAAAGTATCCATTCTGGTACTGCCACTGTAAGAAACATAGAAGCCTCCACCTTACCAATGCTCTACTGAGGAAGGCTTCTACATCCCTTCACTTACAACCTGTGCCTTCAGAGTATTTTAAATGGAGGTTTTGCAAACGCCCCTGGAATAGTGCCTTTCTTCCTCTCGGACAGCCAAATGGAAGACATCTTTCCTTATAGTCTTTACTGCCCCATCTATGATGAAATCAGGAAAGAAGCACTGATGATAGATAAACTTTAGGGGTCAAATGCAGAATGACTGTAGACACAATGCCAGTTTTTAATAATCAGGATGTTACTTTTGCTAAGCTTTCTTTTAAACTCAGAAATAATTTTTTATGTTCTCAATTATAGCATAGATTTAAGTTCAACTTAATTTCTTTGTATGTTGCATTTCTTTTTATATATGCTGATTATTATATTGTTTTTTTTGTTATGTTGTTACGACCTGCAGTCAAAACAGTAAACTTACTACTTAATGATATTCAACACCCTGTCCCAAAAGAATCAAATTAACAGATCAAAATTCTCAAAATGACTCAGACTGTTTCAACTTTTATGTAATAGAAACATACTCTTATAGAAACTTCTATCACACTCAGCATTTTTACTATTCCTTATGCACTGAAACTCTGGAAATGTCAACTGAATTTTCAGTTGCCAATGCAACAGTAGTCCTATGTAAAGAAAGTGCTACATAAAACAATGGGGTAATAATATATTTTCTTCCAGGAAAGCAATTATAATCTTTCTCAGTCCACACTGAAAAATGTCATGTACTATTTTATTTCTTCTTGGATCAAGGAATTATTAGCCACTTTGAGCATCATCCTGGAAAGAAAATCAGGATATAATTATAATAAATAAATATATTCCCCAATGGCCTTCAACTCTACAATGTCACGTGACCTACACCATCCTGGGCTCTGTTCTTTAGGTAACATATAAGTGGCATGGATATCTTCACACAGAGTACAATGCATGAGAAAACACTAATTTCTGAGCAGCCTCTTATCAAATTTTACAGAGACCCTACCCAGGAGGTAGGAGACTGGAAAATTAAACAATTCCATCACAGTAAAAGACTGAATAATAACATTAGAACACTTTCCATGGTGTCCTACATTATATGCCCATCTCCCAGTGGTCATAACAAAACTATCTTCCTTGAAAGCTGTCATAACTTACCAATAGAGGTGAATATGTGCAGCTCAGGGTTGAACTGTGGAGTCCTTGGGGTTCTCTGAGCATTTGGTTCTTTTCTTGCAAACGTTTCATTTCCCCGCCAAGGTATAACCTTTTTGGACTCATAAAAATCTTGAGGAATGAAGAATGTTTCCTCTCCGGTAATAGAA